CACACCCCCCCCCACCCCACACACACACACACACCTCATCCCGGTGGGGAGAGCCGCGAACGCGGGAAGACGGACGGACGCGCATTCACAGCGACAAAGACCATACATGATCGAGTGCAATATCAGCAACCAAACGCGCAAATTGTGCCACTTTCTTTAGCGGATTACTCGACTGCGATGACCATTCAGAAGTAGCCACTGTGTGTGTGAACCTTGGCCAGTAGAAACACTGGAAAAACAAAACGAAGCTGTTAGGCCGCACCTTGTAAAAGGTGTTTGTTTACTGCCTTGACAAGGCCATGAGAGTGGTTCAGCGATTTTGCACCTTTCTTTCGATTTTGTGACGCGCGTGATCTCAACCTATCCTTTGATTTTGTAAAGCGAGTGATCCCACCATGCCTGCCTGATTGGAAAAGCGACAGGACCTGCCGGCCACAAAGTACAGAATGATTGTGACGAACGCTATAATCGCATTGTTTAGTTTCTTTTGAAGGGAAAGGCCGTTGCAGAGTGAGTAAAGAACACTATAAGGGCGGTGTCAGGCGGGTCACTACTCCCACGCCCGCCGGAGGGTCCCGTCCGGTCCCAACCGTCATCTGCGCAGGGTTCACGGGTTCCGGTCACTGTCACTACCTGGGCGCGATTCAGTCTGTTCTGCGACAGGCCGCGAAAACGCGTGACAAAATACCAGTACAGCTGCCAAAGGCAGTGACTTCTAGCAGAGCTCTACGACAGTGCCTTTAATATGGCATTCAACCCAATTCTTATTTTTACAGCACCCCTGTAAAGTTGCGACTTGGACTAGGTACGTACTTCCCTTTGCACCAGGCGTAAAGAGGGGTCATTGGAAACCGGTCGCACGTCTGGAGAAAGCTGGACGGAAGGGGGGGATTTCACGTGCCAAGTTAATCACGCAATATTCTGTTCGCTCCAGCCGTTCAGTTCATTTTAATCCGTAAATGCGGGCGTCAGTCACCACGCCCGCCCCCCGGGGTTTTTTGTATATTCCCGCCGTTTCGCCATACCGGTGCTGGACCAATCAGATCGCAGCAGCCCGCCGCCGGGCGGCGGACGCGAGAGGTCTTTCCCTGGAGTGCGCCGGAGGACGGCCTGGAATTCCCCGCGCGATGGTCCAGGCGGGGCAGGAGCAGGAGTCGGGAGTCGGGACAGGAGAGAGGCTTAAAGGGAGAGGGTGAGGAAAGGGGAGGGTCAGGAAAGAGGAGGGTGAGGAAAGAGGAGGGTGAGGAAAGCGGAGGGTGAGGAAAGAGGAGGGTGAGGAAAGAGGAGGGTGAGGAAAGAGGAGGGT